TGGGAAAAACTGACGTCTTTACCATGCCAAGTTTTCTAGTTGATGAACATGCATTTAATCCTTGATTGCATCCTCAGTAGTGTGCAGTTTTCGGTGTGTCACCTGATCAGCACCGAGTGTTTTGCACAGTAGTAAATAGTACTCTAGTTTCAGTTCCACTGTCCGTGAGTCCATTGTTGGTATATTCTGATTTCTGTGTGTTCGTCTTGTGCTCTTGTGCATGATTTTATGTATCCATCTTGTGTTCTTGTGTGCAATTTTGTGTATTGATCTTGCTCAATTCACTGCTTCTAGGCATTCTTTTGTAGATTCCTTATGATTGTCATATCAGCTGCAAACAGAGACTTTTCCTTTTCCTTTCCAATGTGTCTGTGCCTTCTACCTCATGGCCTTCCTTTAATGAGGAACCAACTAGAACTTGACACTATGTTGAATATCTGTGAAGGAGCAAACATCTTTTACCGTGGTACCAGCCCTAGACGATAAGCATTCTGTCTTTAGTCATTAAGTGTGATGTTAGCTATAAGTTTGTTGCAGATTTTGTTGATCAAGTTGAGGAAATAACGTCTTTCTGAATTTCTGATTTTTATTATGAATGGGTGTTGAATTTCATCAAGTGCATTTTCTGCTTCAAAGATGTGATCAATATGATTGTAGCTGGATTTTTGTTCTGAGATCATTGTGGTTTATATACAACCATGAAAAATAATACAGATGGGCCCCTAGTAATGGCATCTGGCAAAAACATAGTACAGTCTCACAACGGGGCTGCAAAGTACGGCCTATTGCCATCACTGCATGCATCCTTCTTGACCTCCATTTACAGGTGCATTTGCTTCCTCCCCACTCCCACCTTCTCCACTATCCTTGCAAGAATGTAACATAAATGCAGTCATCCAGTATGTAAATTTGCGGGATTTTTTTAAACTCAGCATAATTCTCTGCAGATTCTCAGGCTGTTGTCTATAGTTATGTCTTGTTATTACTGAGTTGTATTTCATGGTATCATGTACTAGTTCACTTCAGCGTTCATCCGTGGAAGGATTTCTGAGTTGCTGCTAGTTGTTGGTTGCTCATTGCAAATTGTGTGCATCCAGTTTCTATTACTCTGGGATAGATACCCAGGAGCGAACCTGCTGAGTCACATAGCAGTTGTGCGTTTCGTTTTTTGTTTTTTTAAAGATTTATTTATTCATACAGAACTGGGGTACAGGCCAGAGATGCGGAGAGTGAGGGGATTCACCAGAGACACATTGGGGAGCAGAACAGGCAGATCGAGGAAGTCCACTGCTGAGGGGAGCAGCGGGCGGGTCGGGAGAGGTCTGCCGCGCCATGGGGTCACCTCCTGGGCAGGCGGGGATCGAACTCATGCGGAAGTGGCTTTAGCTTCTTAGTGCTGTGCTTTAACCTGCTGCGCCACCAGGGAGGGCCTGCACGTTTTGTTTTTAAGAAACCACCAAACAGGTGTCCAAGTGGTTGTGCCATTGTGCATGCCCACTGGCAATGTCTGGTGAGTGGCAGTTTCTCCCATCATCGCCGGCATTCAGTTTAGTCACTTTTTAAAAGAGATGAAACACACAACCATGGGGGTACTAGTACCACCACAGCGCACTAAGCCATCATCTTTATTTCGCTCCTGCACATCTGCATCACCAACAAATAAAACCCCATCTTCATTAAGCAGTTACTTCCCATTCTGCCCGACCCCTGGCCTCCACCAATCTGCTTAATGTCTCTGATTTACTGATGCTGGATATTTCGTGAAAACAGAACCCAGCTCTCTGTGGCCCTTGGTGACTGGCTCCTTCCATGGAGCACATCGTTGCCAAGATTCAAGCACGTTGCAGCAGGGATCAGTGCTTCGCTCCTTTCTATGGCTGGATCGCAGCCACAATGCAGCGTCTGGGCCAGAACTGGCTTGGTCATCTGCATTGCTAGACAGTTGGGTCGTGTTCACCTTTGGTTATCGTGAACAAGGCTGCTGTGAACATTTGTGTGGAAGGGTTTGTCTGAGTACTTCTTTTCTGTCCTTTGGGGACTATACCTAGGAGTACTGTCATAGAAGGCACTTCCATGTTTAACCTTTGAGGAAGTGGCCAGACTGTTTCCACGGCAGCGGTAACATGTTACAGTCCCATCAGCAATCCATCAGGGTTCCAGTTTTTCCATATTCTCAACACTTGTTAATTTCCTTTTTTTTTTTTTTTTTTTTTTAGTGATAACCATCCTAGTTTTAGGAAGTGGTATGTCCCAGTTTTGATTTGTATTTCCCTAATTGCTAACCCTATGGAGAGCAATCACGTGCACCTGCTGTGTTTAAGTATATCTCTGCTGGAGAAATGTGTGTTCAAGAGCTTTGTCCATACTTCACTGTATTGCTTTTCTATTTATGGTGGAGTTGTAAGACTTCCTTATGTAGGGCCCTCCCTGGTGATGCAGTGGGTTAAAAGCACAGCACTGCAAGCTAGCTGCAGCCACTTCAATGCAAGTTTGATGCCCTGCCCCAGAGGTGACCCACACGGCACAGCAGACCTCTCCTGACCCGCCTGTTCTACTCCCCACTCTGTCTCTGGTGAAGCCTCTCGCCACCCCTGCACCTCTGGCCTGTACCCCAGCTCTGTGTGCATATATAAATCTTAAAAAAAGATTTCTTTATGTAATCTAGATACTAGATTTTTATCTACTGTAGACTTGCAAATATTTTCTGCCACTTGATAGTCTTCACTTTCTTGATGCAGGAGAAATGTCTTCACTTTCTTGATGCCCTTTGATGCAGACAAGTATTTAATTTTGGTGAACCCCAATTTACCTGCTTTTCTTTTGTTGCCCATTTGTTTGCTGTCATATCTAAGGCCCCATTGCCAAGATCAGCGTCATAAAGATTTCCCCTTTTTTCTTCTAAGAGTTTACATCATTCTTCCTACATTTACATCATTGAACCAGGGAGTAGGTTAGGTCTCCTACTCCTTACTACCTTCAAGACTTCCCTTAACATTTTAGCAGTTCGATGATGGTGGCTCTTGGCGTGGGATTCTTTTGTATTTATGCATTTGGGAATTCACTTCATTTCTTAAATTGCCAGTTTACGTCTAATGTCAAATTAGGGAAGTTTTCACTCTATTTCTTGGAATGCTTTTTAGTTCTATTCTCGCACTTCTCTCTTTCTAGGGTTCCAGTGATGAATCTTCGATTTTTTTTTTTTTTATAATCCCATATGTCTCTGAGATGCTATTCATTTTATCCAGTTTCTTCTTCTTTCTGTTGTCCAGCTGAGGGAATTTTTATTGTTCTAATGTTCACTCCATCCCTTCCATCAATCCCATTTTCTTGATCCCCTTCATTACATTTATTTTAATTATTGTATTTTTCAGTTCTAGAATTTCTATTTGGTTCTTTATATTTTCTGTTTCTCGGCTGAGATTTTATTACTTTCATTTGTTTCAATAATTGCGTAATTTTGGTTGAACCATTTTAACGATCATGGTTTTAAAATCCTCACATTTAATTTCCATTCCTGTGTCATCTCAGTGAAGGCTCCTCATTGAGGTCTTCCTGCTTCTGAGTATCATGAGAGACTTTTCTGGCAAGACGTGGACATTTGGCATTTTATGTTATAAAAGTGGATCTTCCTTCGAGCTTACATTTTATCTGACTTCCTCCGGGAAGAGGAGGGGACCATCTCCTTTCTGCCACATGGGTACAGACGTTCCCACTCAGCCTTCACTGACATTAGCCCCTCCAGGCTCCCAGCGATGCCACCCCGCGGGCCAGGTGGGAGTGCCTCCTTGAGCTCTGTGCGCCCACTCAGTGGGCAAGGGCGGGTGTGTCCTCGCCCCCACTGTGCGGGGTCAGAAGTCCTGACTGTGGTCCAGTAGGGACAGGAAGAGGTGGATCACCGCTGCCGGGTTGGGGGGTGGCCTTCACTCGGAAGGAGTGGGCCTACAGCTTCTTCCGTGACGTGTAGCTGCATTTGGTGGCTTTCTGTGCTAGAGGCTGCTGTCTTGATGGTCCTTTAGCTACAAAGAGAGAAGACAGTTGTTGGGGCCTCTTTGTCCGAGCCCATTAGCATCTGGTTGCCAGCTTCTTTAAGTCCGCTTCTGGGCTCATCAGGCAAAAGGAAAACCCAGAGAACTCGCGCTTGGGCCATGCACTCAGGCCCCCCCCCCCCCCGGCTTCCTTCCAGCTTTCAAGATTGTTTATACTTGTTTTCGGCAGACCGTCCTGGGATGTCGTCAGCGTGCTCTGGGGAGCGGGGAGACTTTGGGGACACCTCCATTTTCCAAAGTCCGCACATCGTCGTTCGACAGCTGCCAGGGAGGGTCCTGGGAGGGAAAAGTCCTTTGTATGTGAACGCCTTCACGGAGTTCTTACTTCACGTCCATACCGTGAAAAATCAGCTTCCCCATGTCGTGGCTGCTAGTCTGCCGTGGACGGCTTCGGTTGGGATAGCATCACCCGCCCGCTGCGCAACGCGTTTCTTGAGCCCTGCCAACACCCTCCGCTGCCTTCCCCTGTGTCAGCTTTTGAACTGTTCATCTGCTCACTGGGCCGGAGGCTACTGGCCGAGAGGTGGGGCTGCCCCTTGTCCGGGCCATCCAGTTCACTCACTGGCCGTGGGGGCGGTCAGCCACCAGCGGACCAGCCTCGGTGCCCTCCACGCAAGAGGTCTGTCAGAGGACAAAGCCAGCCTCTCCCAGCTCTCCCCGCATGCTGCGCAAAAGCCAGGCCAGCCCTAGGTCCTGCAGTCCTGGCCTGGAAGCCCCTTGCTATTTGAGCTACAGCCAAATACTGACTGCCCCGGAGAAATGTCTCAGGCCCTGGGGATGGGAGGGGCCCGATGAAGGGAGTGGGGTGGGCAGAGAGACAGGAAAAGGAATGTGGCAGCCTCCACCCAAAGCTGTCTGTGAGTCTGCAGTTCACGGGGTCAATGGTCTCATCTCCGTATCTGAAAGACAGTCTACTTTTTGTCTCCCTAAGCCCTGTGTCTAGGTCGCTGGGGAAGCGCCTTGGAGAGTCAAGAATAAAATTGCAGGTCAAACAATGGATGACTGGAAAAGTCGGCTTGTAATCAAGAGCATGCTTCCCCATTTCGCCATGGTGGGAAACCGGCAGGAGCCCAGAAAGCTCCAGGAATCGGTCAGACAATGGGCTATGGGGGGAGGGGGTTTGAATGCTTCTAATCTTAAACTGAACGTACGATGTGTTGTTGAAATTCTCTGTGCAAACTTGGTGGCAGGGAACCAACCTACGTGTAAGGCACTCAAATCTGACCGAGAAAGCATCTAGGAGATGAGCTGACCTCGCCCCTCGTGAGTTTTGGGGAGAGCAGGAAATGCAATGAGGCCCCCCTGGACCCAGCACCGGGATCTCTGTGCTGCCTTCCTACTGACTAGAAAGAAAGGAAGGGCGACAGGGAGGAGAAGCAGGAATGTGGGAATGACATGCACGAGATGTATTGCTTTCACTTCCTCATCCCACTGAGAACCGGAAGCCAGTGAGTAGGACACAAAAGAGGGATCCCCGTTCACCTCTCTGGCCCCGAGGTCCTTCTTAAAACCCATTCGACAAATCCTATGTTCATCCCTGAGAACCAGGCATCATCCACGGTCTGAAAGTCACAGTCAAGGATTCCAGTGGTAGTTCCAGGAGCCCGGGGATGAAGGGGCCAGGGAGGCCATTGGTTGGTTGAATTTGCCCAAAGAGGCCTGCGACAGCACCAGTCTACAAGATTAGCTCGGTGGGCAGGAGCCACAGCAAACAATGGTTGTTATCTCAGTGTGTGAGGGCCGCAGAGGAGTGGCCTGCTTAATCTCTGGAATTAATAGAGCAGAGAGGAAATGGCTCTTATAGCGCCGCGGGTCTGCTTCCTTCCTGTCCAGAGAACTGGGAGCTCAGGGCTCTGAGGTAATGCCATTTCACATGACTAGAGGGCCTGGCGCCTCCACTTCCCAGGGCAGTCCACTTTCAGTGAGGGAGCCTTCCCTTTCATTTAGGGTTCTGATGTGTGCACAGGTGTAGGGCGATATTGCTGAAATCTTGCTTCTACTTTATCTCCCGGCCTACCACCGACACTGTATGGCGAACGTGGTTAAAAAGGTGAATGTGAACATTGACAAAGCTTTGTTTACTGGGGGCCCACTCCTCAGGGGTGGTTGGGGTGGGGATGGCGGGGTGGAGGAGTTATGTGGCCAGTAGTGTGCAGGCAGGCATCTCCCAGGAGGTGATCTCTGGCCTCCACCCCAGTCGCCTCTGTGTGTCTTGCTTCTCTTTCAAGTTCAACAGCACAGACAGGGAAGGGGGAAGTCCGAGCCTCCTCCTCTTGCACACTCTTTTCACCCGCTTTGTCCCTTAATCCTCAGAGAGAAGAGTGGTTACCTTGGCTGGCAGCCATGGGGTCCTCTTCCCTTCTCCTCAGCCACAAGCAGTGTTTTAGAGACTAGTCACTGTGGTTTTGGCTTTGACCTGGTGTAGACAGAAGGGTTTTTCTCAGAATAGGACCCTGGGGAAGCCGCCCTGTCCTCCCTGGAGAAGTGGCTCTGCTCACGCCATTACTGGCCTAGGCATCTCTTTGTCCATAGCCTTCAGAGCCCTTTGTAAGGAAGGAAGGAAGCGTGGCCTTAACATCACAGCCACACCTTGAACTTGGTCAGTCCTCGTCCCTCCTCTGTGGCACCCCGTGTTCTTCTACCCTCCCCCTGTGTGTTTCTGAAACTCCAGCCTAGAAGACAAGGATTTGCCCCCATTGAGGGCACCCAAAAACTACGGCTCAGATGAAAACAACTCCCTCAGATGAGTCCTCTTCACCGTGCAAACCTCGCCCGTCTCCTCGGAAGGTGTCTGATCTCTGAAGGATCTGCATGCTGGGGGCCCGTGCCTACTGCCAGCCAGGAGCCAAGGCAGCTCCTGCTCTGAGCTGAATGTTCATGGCTGGTCAATCCCGGCAGCCTCTGTGCTTCCATAGAAATCAGCCACGCATGTGCAGGAGCCCTGGGACCTGGCACTAGCGGACTGAGGGGCAGACAGGACAGATTCACCGAGCAGCGTGCTGTCCAGCCAGTGGCGCAGGGCTCTGGAGGCAGGGCGCTTGGTTCCTCCAGGAGCTAAGATCTCCGCCCCTCCCCTTGCCTCCACCCCAACCCCGGGCTCACCAGTGCAGGAGTTGCCCGGCTGTCTGCCCAGTTCTCGGCCTCCTGAAGTCGCACAGATGTCCCAGCTCTGAGCAGACACCTGTCCCCCTCTTCAGGCATCACGGGACCAGATGGGGTGCTCTGGCCTTAGAGGGATGGTTGGAGGTGAGAGGGGTGCCATGTGCCTTGCTCGGCTGGGTCCTGACACTCAGTGGTGCCGATAGCCTCGACTCCCCAGGCCCCATGAGCTGACACGCTCCGATGCACTCCTCCTCCCAGGTGTTCTCCCTTTCCATGACCGAGAACACTGAAGTGAGTTGTCGGTGACCTACGGAGAGATGCCCACAGGAGCTAGCAAGGGCCGCCAGCTCCATGCTCCCTGTGCAGTGGAAGTTGCCCAGTGGCACTGCGTGACGTTGCATCGCGTGGCCCCAGGCGAGGCCGCCATCCTGACCGCCATAAGCTCGCCCTGGAGTCCCTGGGCCCAGGGCGGCCACCAGTAAGATGGCATCATCATCCGCCTCTGCTTGCGTCAGGTCCCGAGGTGCCAGTGAAGATGTGGGCGCGCACAGTGGGAACCACGCAGGTGTTACTGCTGTGGGCACTGAGCTTTCATGAGCAGATCTCACCATGGGCTCTGGTTTTGTCTGGCAGCGGGACGACGGGAAACGTGCGTCCTTGGAGCTTGAGTAGGGACACCTCGGCCGAGGACAGCCCAGGGCCCCCGTGGCCGCACGGCGCCAGGGAGGGCTGGCTGGCGGAGCTGTGAGCATCTGGGTCAAGGCCCGCTGTGCCCAGGCGCCTTTCTATTTTGGGGATCCTCCCTACGGAGCACGCAGCTGTTCGCTCCCTTTCCACCCGCCTCCTTCCCCCCGCAGTCAGGGCCCTTTCCTGGGCAGCCACCCAGCGGGCAGGGCCGGCAGGAGAGGGTCTTCTCTGCGAGAACAGCGGCAGGCGTGCCCCCTGGACCTTGTCTCTGCGGCCTCCGACCCAGGAGCCCAGGCCACTGAGTCAGTGACCTGAGACTCAGAGTCAGCCTGAAAGGGAGGATGCTGGGAAGGGATCCACTTTGCAGCTGGCTTCTGCTGGCATCGGGGAGCTCAACTTTGAACTCCCAGGAGGGCAGGCTGGCCTCAGTGGCCTTCCTGCCTGGCCCCTGCCTTCTCAACATTAAACCTGGTAAAAGTTGTTGGAGCCTAAGCTATCCCAGGGAGGAGGAGAGTGGGCACCATGGAAGCTCAGGCACCCCCCACCTAAGGTCAATTTCACCAGCGGGCAGCCTGCTGGCTCCCCGGACTCCAGACCACCTGTGCCACTGTGGCTTCTTGCTTCCACTCAATATTCCCTACAGAGTTCTGATTCTGTTGGCAGATATCTGAGTCGCCCCTAGGATGCCAGTGCCTGACCTGGGGGGAGGGGCATGCTTGGAAGCTTTGGCTACAGATTGTGATTTCTGTGACCCTACAGAACAGTCTGTCCTCATCCACTCCCCCAACTAGATCTCCACTGTCCCCAGGACCATGGGCTGCTGGACTTGACCCTGGGCTCCGGGGCAGCTCCTATCTCTTGCCCGCAACCCACCATCTCTCAGCACCATCGTACCCACACCCCTAGGTCCGTTCCCGGATGCCCAGGACACCTGGCGCTGCTGTTCACTCTTGGTCAGAGGCTCCTTAGCGATTGTCCAGGCCACGCTCTCTGTTGGACCAAGATGGGGCCAAGGACACGCAAAGGACAGGGGTGGGCCCCAGGTCATCATCCAGTGGGTGAATTCACCCCACTTTGTGGAAAAGCCGTGGTCTCTCGACCTCGAACTGGAAAGAGGGAGGGCATGGGATAAGTGCTAGGAAACACGGCTCGAGTGGGTAATTCAACCCGCAGGTGCCAGCAGGGCCCTGCTGCAGTGGGATGCTCCTGGGTGCAGGATCCCCACCCTCAGATGGCTGCGCCGGGAGGCAGCATTGCACAGGCCTCACTTGGCGGCCTCCAGAGACTCCTACGGGGGTGGAGGGAGACAGCCTTGAAGGCCTGAGAGGAGAGTACATTCTAATCTGTGGGCAAGATATGAGTTGTTCAACAGTGCACCCCGCTGGAAAGGGCAAGACAGGTGGGCACGTCAGAGCGAGCAGCCTTCTCTCCTTCGGGGGAAGCTGTAGAACCCCCAGAGTTCCGACCAACAGATGCGTAGCAGTCACAGGTTGGGAGCGAAGGGGACATGGCGTTGGGGATCACCACACGCCTTTTCCTGTTGAGAAGTGGTCATCTGACCTGCACTGTCACGGACAGGTCTCCATGGTCCCTGAGTGTGAGGAGGACAAGTGGGAAATCATTTCCTTTCTGGAGCAAGAGATCTTGCTCCAGATCAGGGGTTGGCAGACTCTGGCCATGGGCCAAACTGGGCCCACAGCCTGTTTTGCACGTAGCCGCAGGCAGTTGTTCACGTCGCCTACGCCACACTGCACAGAGACCACTTGACTCGTGGAGCCTAAGCTAGTGGTATTGGGTCCTTGGGAGAAAGTGGGTCTGACCCTTGATGTCGGCCCCTGGGTTTTGCTTCATTTTTCCTGAGGCCGTAGTTGCCGGGTCCCACTTGAGGTCCTCACACCTCCCCAAGTGTCCTGCTCCCTCCTTTGGCAGGTGGTTGGCCTGCCCCTGGCTTCTCCAGGCTGCTGGCTGCTACCACTGTTCCTTGTTCTTTCCACAACCTGCATCTGTCCCTCGCCCCTCAGCAGCCAGAGATCTTTCTCAAACAGTTCTAGTTGCTCTTTCCTGTGCTTAACGGATACCGAATGGCTTCCCAGTGTAGCTGCTTCCAACCAACCCCCCGCCCCATGGCAGAGAACGCCCAGTGGGGCTCCTGCCACTTCCCTCACACTTGCCCATCCCTGGAACATGCCAGAGCTCTCCCCCAGGGCCTCTGGCCACTCTGTCGTCTTCCTGTTGCTTCTTTAGTTCTCGGGGAGCACTGCTCACACTCCGTTCTGGTGCTTGTCTGTCACACTAGACTTG